TGGCTGCTGGGGGCCACCAGGGCGAAGGCGTCGTCCAGGAGGGAGTGCATGGTCTGGCGGGCCTCCTCGATGGACGGCTGCGGCGGGGCGTACTGCAGGGCCGGGAAGGGCAGGGCCGGGTAACGGCCCAGCTCAGCCGACGACGGCGTCGGCACGTCTGCCGGCAGGTCGGGGTCGGACTGCAGAGGGGACACGGCGGAGAGACGGACAATCAGACACAGGCGGCGGTGGCCCGAGCACAAAACTCCCATCGAGGGCCAGAGCGCAAGTGATCGGTTTTCACTGACGTTGAGGAAAAGGTGCCCGTAAGAATTTTTAAGACGACAGCGGAGAGGAGCGTGTTAGCTCTCACGGGTGCGAAAAGTTTGAATCAGGCATAAAGGAAAAAATGAAAACATTCAACAATCGGTCCGCCAAAACTCCTGCAACCGTCGGAGACGCAGTTCGGTGCCTGGAAGTATACATTTTTATTGAAAGCCCCTAAGTAACCAAAACTGATGTCGCAGAGTCGACTCACTGAAACAGCTAGTCAACTTTGCGGAGACGTAGAAATGAAAACTAAAGCGGTCTATTAACAATAGGAAAAAATAGCCCTACACACCCCCGAGAGTTCAAAGTCACCACCGTATTACAACTGTGTGCATACAAATAATTTTACACCTATTACGACAACGGTTTACCGCAGTAAATAGTATTTATTTATTCAGAAACTGTCTTTCAGATGGAGGTATCTCTGGATAACATGAGTCATCCAGACAGGTTTAAACATCTTCCAGACCCACTAAGAGGCAGGGGTATAAGTAATAATTAGGGTTTTTTAAAAATCCTACTTTCTGATGCTACCTTATGAGCAAAAGGCTGTCATCATATACACTTAGGTGAACAGTAAGGGGCAAAGCAGGGAACCAAGGGGAAAAGGGGCCCTTGCGGTCCCAGTGGCTCTGGAAGCCCAACCACCACAGTCGCTCCACTGACACTGAAGCAAGCAGAGGGTCTGCAGGACGGGCTGGTGGCCCCGTGCCCTCCAGGAGGAAGGGTGGGCAGCTCCTATCGAGAAGGCTCTGCTGGCCCTGCCGGTCCACGGTTCAGCTCAGCTGGCTGACCACCCGACCAAAGGGGCCACCGAAGACCCTGCCGCATCTGTGTGGACTCGGCGAGTCTCTCACAAAGAGAAACCTTTTCCACAGACACATCCTCACTCTTAGCCAACTGCCTGGAAAACGCTTTCTAATGAAAACGGTCCGCCCAGCAGACGATCAGGTATTATTCACGCCAGCGTCACCCACTTCAGGGCAGCAGCTGCTGAACTCCACACAGACGGAAAACCACTCTACAAACTGGCAAACCCACAAACAGCCCACAGACCTGTTTTGTTTGGCCCAGGCAGAGTTTTTAAAAACATACTTAGCCACTATTTTAAAAATCTGAAAATTTCCTATTAAACCTCAGATTTCTGGATTCTCTTGGCAGGATCTGAGGCTCCGACTGCCCTCCTGAGATGGGGCAGGCGCTCTCCCCTCCCCTGGTCCTGCAAGTCTGCTTCTCCAATACTGCAATGAGCCAGTAAAGGTCCTACTAAGTGACATTTGTCATCAAGGAATCCTTTTGGTTTTTAATGTTTTGTTTTATTTTTTTTATGTCTTTATTGATTTCAGAGAAGAAGGGAGAGAGATAGAAACATCAATGATGAGAGAGTCATTGATCAGCTGCCTCCTGCACGTCCCCTGCTGTGGATCGAGCCCACGACCTGGGCGTGTGCCCTAACTGGGAATCGAGCCTCGATCTCCTGGATCATAGGTAGATGCTCAACCGCTGAGCCACACAGGCTGGGCTGTTTTTTGTTTTTTAACTAAAGAGAGCTGAACATAGTTTTTTGTTTTTGTTTTTCTATCAAGGAATCTAAGTAAGGATTCTGGGCTCCAAAGGGGGTCTCTGCTTTATCACGTAGCACTGAATAAACTCTGTGTTCTTTTTCTTTGGAGGTGAACAAAAGGTCCACATGCAAGCCCTCCCCCTATTACTGGTTTTTCTTGAGGAACAGATAGGAAAACCTGTGGTCAGCAGTGTGCCAACAACCTAACAGTTCCTGGTGGAGAAATGGAAACATGTGTCTGGAAACACATCCTATTGGTAAGTAAGAAGGTCTCTCCAGGGACAGAGGTGATGCTCCTGGGGGTGTTCCAGTAGCTGACGAGGTGACTGTATCACAAGGAAGCGAGTGGTGGGACCACGGACACAGCCACAAACCCAAACTGAGACTCCACCGGGGGGAGGAAAACTTACACACACTTGAGGAGAGTCCAGAGCTACAGTCACTGCCAATCTCACCCTTACGGTCATACTTTTAGAGAAGCTTTAACTTTGACAGCAAGAGAGAGATTCTCTGAAGACGGGAGGGAAGGGTCCCTTGGATTCCCACTGGCCCCAAGGGTCCTGCCAAGAAGGCCCAGAGCTCCACGACCAGGATGTCAGAGCCTCTTGTTCTTTCACCCTGTGGCCTCCTCGTTTCACAGGCTAGACTGTCGGAACTTGCAGGCCAAGGCAGGTCATCTTCATTTTCTGTATCTCAACATGGAGCACAGTGTTTCACGTACAGATGGTACTCAATAAAAAATGAAAAAGGGCAATTATGTACAAAAGTGAGTACTTCTCCAAGATCCCCGAGCTGGAATTTGAATTCCAGTCTCCTGAATCACAGACAATTCATTATACTCAGTTACTTTCCTTTGCAAAGATACATGTTCATCTATCGCTCCTCTGAAATATATACGAACCTTTTTACATTTAATCACCAGAGATGATGTGTTCTGGCGCCTATTCTGCAATCCTTTGTGGGTATTACACTCGCTGGTTGGCCCAGGACAATCTCGGTTTATGCCTGTTATCCTTTCACTCTCACAGCGTCTGGTTTGAATGATCAATTATGTCAGAGGTTGACAAACATTCTCCAGAAAGGGCCAGACTGGTAAATATTTTAGGCTTTGTGAATCATGTAAGTGTCTGCTGCAACTAACTCAACTCTGCCCTGTAGCAAGAGCAGCCACAGGTAATATGCAAATGAATGGGCACGGCTGTGTTCCAATAAAACTTTATTTCTAAAAGCTGGTTGGATTGGCTGAGGGCCGAAGTTTGCCTAGGCCGGATTATAAACGTAACCTTAGTTGTAAGAAATCCAGGAATATTTTTTTCACTTTAGGAGAACAGAGCTCTCAAGGAGATGATGATATGCTGAGGGGGGAAAGTGTAAAAGTCAAGATAATTCAAAAACACGTATGCCTAGTACACTACCCAAGAGAAGGTGAGTTCTGAAAAAGGCATTATTTTTGAAAATCCGTGTTTCAGAATTTTTAGGGAGGGTAAGTAAGAAGTGCATCTGGGGAAGATTTTCATTTTAAGGCATCTTTGAAAAACAAACCCACTGGAGAGAAGCGGTTGACAGGTGGCACTCTCCAGGCAAGGGTTTCTTCCTACCAGCTGAAGGAGGAACCCCTGCGCTTTCTGCTGAAAACAAAAAACAAAAATAAAAAGATGGTTGGGGCCACCAGGAAAGCGGCCTGATCTAGGGTCATGGATGACAGCAAGGTAGAGAAAGCAGGTTAGTCCCTGCACCCGACTCCATGGCATTGTGACGGCACTCAGGGCTGCTAAAAAAAATAAAAAATTTAAAAAGACACTGGGACTGAAAAGGGTCCCCTGCAAATTCCTTTCAGAGAATGAGCCCACTGGTCAGGGAAGTGGAAGGGGGAGAAACGCTCTTTCTCCCTGTTTGTTAGTGTCACCGCATGACTCTCCTGGGGGGCCAGGGGACAGCCCTCCCCAACAGCAAAACAAGGACCACAGACGCCCAGACAACCACCTGCCTGAAAACAGCAGTGCAAGAACGCCATCTACTGTAGGAACTGCCAGGGCTGGTTCCCGACCTTGGGAATTCATTCCCAGCACGCAGGAAGGCCTCCCCATCTCCCATCTCCCATCTCCCATCGCCCATCTCCCATCGCCCAAGAGGGCGAAGCAGTCTGACTTGTTGACCTGCCAACTCCCTGGAATCACTCCAGCCCTCAGGAGGAGGGAGGAGGGACACAGTCAGTCTTAAGGCTCCCAAAGAAAAGCAGGGCTCTTTCAGATGGTCACCAAGGTCAGCATGGTGTTTGGCACATTTGTATAACTGTATGCAGTGACTGGCAGCGTTAGTTATTAGTGTAATTTAGGAGACAAAATATAAAACTCAAGTAAGTGGCTAGTTGCGTAAGCTCTGTCTAAAGGGATCATGTGCCCCTTCTCTAAGGACGTGCTTGTTGCTAATTCCCCTCTACACAAGGACGGCTGTGTGAGTTGCCTCCGGCGGAGGAGGGGGTCTGGTGCAAGAAGACAGGCCACACCCTGGCGCAGGGCTGCAGGCGCCCGCATCTGGCGCTCCCTGTCTCGGGTGCCTGTGTGTCTGTATCTCTCCCGGCCCCTCGGGGAGGCTGGCCCTCTCTTCCCTACTCAATGGGGTCTGTGTGTCTTAAAGCTGTCAATGTCTGCCTTTTACACTTCAAGCAACTCTGTCTGTGTCCTTCCTGTTTGAAAAAAAATGTTTAATTCCGTATTTCTTAACTTCCAGTAAGCTCTCTCTCCCATTAAAATAAAAAATATACATTATGAGCAAATAAAATACCTTCCTAGCACTCCAGAAACAGAAGGGAGGGACAAAACCCTAAATATCCCTCCTATCACCAAGAAACCCGAAAAAGGCTCTAGCCAGGGAGATAAAAGACAACCTTCTGAATATTTCTGTCTGTGTTCCAGTTACCCTGAAGAAGTGTCCACACTGAAGCCCAAGGGGAGAGGACTCGCACACAGAAAGGAAAAACACGCAGCCCCTGGTTCACATGACCTAAGTCTCCCCTCCAACGAGCAGCCCACTCCCTACCCTTCCCTGCAGGCCTCCCAGCCCAGCTGCCCCGGAGCGCCAGCCACTGGGCACCGACCCCACGGGGCGGCAGCCCCCACTGTTCATCTTTCTCCCGAAGAGCCACCCAACAGTGGCGCCAGGAGGAAGGGCCGGCATACGCACCGGGCAGCCAATGTAGGCGGAGTTGTGGACGCCGGGGGGCCGCTTGTAGGTGCCGTCGCTGTCTGTGGTGATGAGCCTGTCCTTCTCCGCGTCCCCGGGGCAACCGTTGACCTGGTGCTTCCGGCGGGGCTTCGGAGAACGTTTTATCCGCGAGCTGCCAGGGGAAAAAAGAGGTTATCCTCATAGGAAATAGACCTTCCTGCCACCCGCTTATCAACTAAACACCAGGCATTTTTGTGAACACCTGCGACGTGCTGGCCACTGCGGCAAACACCCACTGCATAAAAACAATGTGTGAGCCACAGTCTTGGCTCCACGGAGGCTCACCATCCTCCTGGACAGACTACAGCAACACACAAGGAACAACAGAGAACAATCCGAGGCCACACACGCACGGTGTCACTTATTCATACAGACGTTGGGAAAAGGGTGCAGTCAGTGTGAGCGACTGATTCATCGAAGGCTGCAGGGGCCTGAGCTGGCTCTTGAAGAGCAAACAGGGTCTACAGACAGGGAGGGGTGCGAGGTGTAGGCACAACCGCACCCAGGGCCAGAAATGGGAATGCAGAAGGAGGTTTGGGGGCGACGAGGCCACCCACTCACGGAGTGGCAGGTCTGTCTACGCCGCTGTGCGGTGCACAGGTGGCCCTGCCTGTTGCCTGTTACGGGCACACATGCAGCACACGGAACCATCACAGGTTCTAAGCAGAGAAAGATGAAACTGAGAGCAGTTTAAGAAAATGCATCTGTGTTAGGGGCAGGAGTCCGAGAGGCAAAGGGGGAGGTAGGACCCAAAACTCTGACGGTGGCTGTGGGACAGGAAGGAGACATCCACCCGCTCTGACCCGGGTGAGCAGACCAGGAGGTGAGCAGGCTGAGAGGATGAGGAGGGCCCAGGCCGATGGGGAGGGGTGGGTCTCGGGAGGGAGGGGTGACCAGGAGACATTAGCCCAGGGAAGCGTTCTGAGGCCATGGAGGTCCAGGCAGGGGAATGAGAGCAGCCTTCCTGCACACAAGTGGCCACCCACAAAGGATCAAAGCCACCCCCGGAGCCTGCACAGCCTTTCTGTGCATAAGCCTCTTGCATCTGTTTTCAGAGACGTTTCCCTTAAAAACGGGCAGGCCCTCCCACAGCAGCCCTGACAGCAGAGGCGGCCGGCTCTGCGCCGGGTCCCACCTCTTCCTGGGCTCTATGAACACCGAGGGCACGCTGGCCGTGGGGTCCAGGATCTTGTCGATCTGCATCTGCGCCCTGCGGTACACCCGGTGCCGCTCCCGCGTGTCGCCCGACGACAGGTCGTCCACCACCGGGAACTCGTAGTGCCCGCGGCGCTTGGCCCGGAGCCGGATTTTGTTCCGATGGTGCTCGATCTCCGACTTGTGTCGCAGCGCCGTCTGGATCTGCAGGGCGAGGTGGCAGGAACCAGACAACAGGAATGTGCTGAGGGTCTGTGGCACCCAGGCTCAGAAAGCATTTTGGGAAGGCCTTCCTGCCACGTTCCTTGCCCCCTAGATGGCTGTCCCAAGCTCCCACAAGGCCAAAGGGTGTGACAATGGGCGAGCACACCCATACAGGGCTCAGGGGATCTGCCCTCGCCCAGCCGGCTCTAACCCCAAACTCACCCACTGTGTGTGAGGGGGAAGCCTGGTCCTGGCCCCCAAAGATAACCCAAACCTGGGAGACGGGCCATGGCAACTCTGAGGACACTAAGGGGCACTGACAACTAGATAGAGTATAGTATTTCCTGAAAGAACAAATGTTTTCCGTACCCAATAATCACCTTAGAGGCTCTTAAATGAAGACAGATTCAAAGACGTTATTTGCATTATACAACAGAATCCCCGTTTACTGATAATTATCTTGTGTCACCAAAACAAGTCCTCTGACATGAGACGCCCCCCTCCCCAAAGAGAAGATCCTCACGTATGGAAACACATCACCGCTGGCTCTGTGGGGCCTGAGCTAGGTCTTGAGGAGCATGTAGGACCTGAAGAGGAGGGAGTGGGGAAAGGGTGAGGGCCAGAAACAGGAATGCAGAGGAATGCTTGGGGGCAAGGAGGCGACCTACGGCAGTGGCAGCTCTGCTGTGCTGGGGTGCAGTGCAGACAGACGGGCTCGCTGGGAATCTGGGAGGAGAGAGCAGGATGCAGGCCAAAATAAAATGGAACAATCCTGGCTGTGCCGCACACATACTTCTTTGAGACTGAGAAGGGTGGTCAGTCGCATGAGGCTCTCGGACACTTACCAGCAGGACCGTTAGGAAAGCCCCTCCTAGCCCCAGCCAGGTGGCTCAGTTGGTTGGAGCACTGTCCCGTACACCAAAAAGGTTTCGGATTCAATCCCAGGTCGGGGTGCGTACAGGAGGCAGTCAATCGATGTTTCTGTAGCATCAATGTTTCTCTCTCTCTCAAATCAATAAGCATATCCCCAGGTAAGGATTAAAAA